AAGAGGAAGGTACTCGAGAAGAGCAACGGCGGTTTGTCAACCGGCACAGTGCTGTCTCCCCATCCCACCACGTCTACCTCAGCCACCCTAAAGATGTCAAACTACCAATCGAACAAACTCTGCCAGGCGAACACGCAGGAGAAGCTGGGACACGTGCAAGAAGAGGACACTACTCAGTCCGAAGGGAACGGTGTGGCTAAGCGACGGACTGGTCTTCGAAAAGTCCCCGTTCCAAAGAAAAAGGAAAGAAGGAGAGACCCTAAGCCTGGATACTGCGAGAATTGCAGGGACAAGTTCGATGACTTTGAGGAGGTAAGAATCGTTCATGTTGAAAGGGTTTAACAACGGCTAATCTTTTGTCTAGCACATCATGACAAGAAAGCATCGCAAATTCGCAACCAATAAGGCGAACTGGGCTGACCTAGATTCACTGCTTGAGGAGCTGGAGAGGCCTCTGAAGGACGAGTACGACTACGAAGATTCAGTTACTTCCTGATCTAGCGGATGCGTGACTATGTGTTTCTTCCTTGCGGCTTGCTTTTCTCCAAGCAAGCGAGCTTGTCAAGAAAGAATCGGTTATAGTGAGCTCAGCACGACTGCATCAACTCCTCTCGCAGTGCCAAATATGAATCCATGTGCGGCGATATGCACACGCATCACATCATTCGTTCATTTTTATCATTGACTTTACGTCGATGTCACTTTTCATATCCCTTAGTCATGTTTACTTCTTTTACCGCTTGACGGTCCATTGTATTTCATATCTACCAGATTACCATATTACCATACAGCCGGCGTCCGTTGGATTTTCTCGCGAGGTTTCGATGTCGCTGCAAGGACATCACGAACCAAAAGCACGTCACGGCCTTTAAGCGACCACTTTTGCATACTATATCCGGAATGAAGAAAACGAGACGAAAAGCGAACGAATTACATATTTGGAGGTTGGCGACGCGGAATCCGTCCAGCATGCTGCATGCGTGTACCATCCCCCGTACCATGTATGCAGAAGATGCTTGAAGGTTGGGTTGGCCAATTCATCAAGCTCCTTGTTTTCATCATATTCTTTTTCTTCTCTTCTTTTGCCCTCGAGCATTTTCATCGGCGGATGTTAAGGGGTGGGTTGGTGGGTTGCATAAGGCTGAATGCATATCTAGGTGGCTTCGTCTTTTTCTCGTTCCATGGCATGTCTGCTTATTTTCCCCATGTGGCTCGTTGTCAGTTGTCATGGCCACCGATTTCTAGCCACCAAAATAATCAAATAGCTTTTTCTCCACCTCGTCCTGCTCTGTACATCGTACACTTGAGTACTACTGCCTGCAGTAAACGGCTATATCCGAGCCTCGGCTGCATGATATCTCGGAGCGGAATAAACTAATCCGCCGGCGGAGAAGGGCAATCCACTTTAGCACCAATTGACCAATCACAGCACAGAAATACGCCGACCGAAACACCAAGGGATGCCCTACTAGGTAAACACCCGGCAGAATGGAACATTAAAGGTTAAAAAAGTGTTGCACGCGCGATCGAACTCTCCGAATGCTACAGTCTACGCTGCATAAACCAGCACGTCCGGGAGTTTATAACTCGCGACAGAATCATGGGATGAGGACTGTGATCTTTCCCCTCATTCAGACGCTCTTAAATGCACTACAAAGTTATTATTTCTTCCGAACCAAGGTAGTTTGCATTTGAAGTAGGTACTTTCAATAAGATCGAGTCTTATACTTTGCTCTTTCCTTCTCGGGTAGTGACGCCATTGTTTCGACGTTAATATCAACGTCGCGGCGTTTTCTTTGCCCCTTCCCCACACTCAACCTTTTATGATCTTTATCTCTTGGAGAGTCGGCATACACTTCATTCTATCAGTTATGGCTTCGTCCCGGACAGCGACACAGCTGACGCTTCCGTTACGATCGCTTGCCAGGGGGTTCTTGGGGCGGCCTGGTTCATCTCCCCGCATGCCCTTCGTCCTTCCTGGTAGCTACATCCAAGCCCGTCTTGTTCCCTCACCATGCACGCCTCAGGTTCGACATAGTTCCCACTCGCCGCTGGGGGCGACACCGGTGAACCCGCGGAAAAAAGTGACGATGCAGACCCTGCGGAGTCTCTACAAGAAGGGAGAACCGATCACAATGCTCACCGCGCACGACTTTCCAAGCGGCCATGTTGCCGACGCAGCTGGGATGGAGATGATCTTGGTCGGGGACAGTCTGGCCATGGTTGCCCTTGGGATGGAGGACACGAGCGAAGTGTTAATGGACGAGATGTTGCTGCATTGTCGGAGTGTAGCGCGCGCGGCTAAAAGCTCTTTCACGGTTCGTAAAAGCTTGTCGGTGTGTGGTTTGTTGTGTTGGAGGCCTTGGCTGACGCGTGGATATTTATAGGTTGCAGATCTGCCCATGGGCTCGTATGAAGTGTCGCCGGAACAGGCTTTGCAATCGGCCATTCGCATGGTGAAGGAAGGTCGCGTACAGGCCGTGAAACTTGAGGGGGGCGAGGAGATGGCGCCGACCATTAAGCGGATTGTGCAGGCTGGAATCCCTGTCGTGGGACACATCGGACTCACCCCTCAACGCCAGAATGCTCTGGGAGGCTTCAGAGTGCAAGGAAAGTCGACAGCCGGCGCCTTACGGTTGCTCAAAGATGCTTTGGCCGTGCAAGAGGCTGGCGCATTCATGGTTGTAGTCGAAGCGGTACCGGCTGAGATTGCTGCGATCATTACTAAGAAGCTCTCTGTGCCCACTATTGGTATCGGCGCTGGCAATGGCTGTTCCGGACAGGTCCTGGTGCAGATAGATATGAGTGGCAACTATCCTCCCGGCCGTTTCCTCCCAAAGTTCGTCAAGAGATACGCCGATGTTTGGGGCGAGGCGATCAAAGGAATCGAACAGTACAGAGAAGAAGTCAAGAGTCGCGCGTACCCCTCGCAGGAGTACACTTACCCGATAGCCAAGGAGGAACTCGAGGAATTTGAGAAGGCTGCTGACCTGATCAAGCGCTCCTAGTTTTCGAGTTCCAACCAGATGTGCTCAATGATCACCTCTTCAATATTTCTTCAGTTTCCTGCGCTTCGTTTTTTGCCCTTATCACGTCAAATTTATGGCATTGTGGGCTCAGATGATACCACGTCTTTTTGATGATTATGACCATTAATGGAATCATTTGCGGCGGCTGCTTTATCTTTTGCATCTCGGAAATTTACCCACGAAGTGAACCCACTTGTTTCCCTCATGTCTGCATGTTGTATTGCAATACGTGCATCTGTTTTATTAGCCGAATGCTGGCGTCATAGAGTACGAGACAATCAATTGATCATCCGTCTTGAAACACTAGGAAAGTTTTTAGTCTATACGTTCATAGCAGAAGCGCCTGTAGCAGGAATACTCACTCTCCATAAACCTCCAACACCTTCATCTAGCCCCGGAGCAAAGACGCTGTTGACGTAGCAAAAGACAGAATCTGTGTCTTTACAGTCGAGCTTTTTCCTGAGGAATTTGACGACTGTTTCGAATTTCTGCGACGCACTGATCTTGAAAACCCGATTTTTAAGAATAGGCGCTGAAGGAAGCGGCTGAAAGCGAACAGTCACTATTCATGGTTAGACGAAGACGCAAATTTCAGGTCCAAGTGATTCTATTGATGATCCTGAAATATATCCACATGCATATTATTTACCTTTTCCTGTATCGACAGCCTCCGCATCCGCCAAAGCTCGATGGGCATCGCGCGGTAGGCTGCTAAGCACCACCGAGGCGGACATGGTCATTGGTAAATCCGCCCCATGCTCATCATCCGGGATAGGGGTGCTTCTGGTATTTGAATCTGAATCTGGTCTTTGGCTAGCAGGTCTATGACTGAGTCTGCTTCCAGCTACTTGTGGGGACCTTGGATTTGGAGAATCTGTCCCCGGGGGATTTTCTGGTGATGGAGAGTCCATTTTGTGGTATGCGCTGGGGGTATTCGCTGGGATTGATGAGGCTATCACTTGAAGTCCGTAGATGATTGTGAGATGATGAAGGGTTTAGAGGAGGTTGTTGTTGCACTTGAGACAGTTGTTCGGTGGATCTACGAGCTAATTTGTACCTTAGCTCTAGGCTAGTTGGGTTCGGTCTGACCAACATGGCTCACGTTCTCTACCAACAGTGTAGCGTAATACCATGAGAAGTAATATGGATTAAGACTAAGATTAACATCTCCATTCCTTCGACTTGATTTCCTGATATGCAGTGGAGTAGTAGTGTACAACAATAACGGTTAGATGTCACCCTATTCTGGATGGATCACAAGCACCATCTACTGACGTAGTGACTCGTTATCGATGGCTGATAACCTGATAGTCAATACTCCACTGAAAGGCCCGGTTGATGACGCTAGCCCATCTACAGATCTATCGGTCTGGCGAACCGAATAGCGATCGATTTTGTTCTAAAAGAATAGGCTATTTCGGCTGAGGGAATCCAAAGCACAATAATATTTACTCAGAGAGAATTAGGGAGAGAAAGGAAGAGATCTGGTAAAACAGGAGAGAAAACGACTACTCCTCGCTGAGTCATCCCGGGCCACATGACTGCCCAACCAAATGGTGCCATCACTCGATAATCATTTCTGAGTTCGCCTGACGGCTATAAGTTACTAGTACTAGTCTTCTCTGTAGTGACTGGTTCCCCATTTCTCCGTGCCATTCTGTTAACTATATCTCCTTGACCACCACCTCCTGCTTCCGTTGTACTGCCCTGAGATTCTAGTACTACTGTCATTTCTCAAGGATTCTCGTACCTCCCGGTTTTTGTGTTACTTTCCGTCAAGTCTTTCTTTGATCGCGCGCCGTTGCTCGTTATCTTGCCCCCGCTCATTGCTTCCCCGCTCCGGTCTTGGAGAACCCTTCGGGCACGACTCTCTCAAAGTACTCAATCGCCTTCAAGCGATTTACCCCCTTTTCACAATCCATCTTTGGATATCATAAGATATAAGGCTATAGCAGTCTACAAGTTTTCAAAATGAGCAGCCCAAAGCGAAGGATCGAGACCGATGTGAGTTCAATCAAAAGATTTCTTGAAGGACATGGTTCACAAATGAGCAAAAGCTGACAAGTCGCCTTTTTCTTTTTGTATAGGTCATGAAGTATGCTAGGATTCCTCTTGAAGACAACCCAACGGACACAAGCTAACCGAATGGCAGGATGTATGCCACACCCCTCTCGAGAGCGTCCATTGACCCTGCCTTCTGGAAGTCACATATACTTGCAGATTCGAGCGAACGCTTGTCGAGCTTCCTGTCGGCTCTTGGACCTTGCTGATATGTTTCCAGGTTGATGAGTGACTACGAGGTGACTTTGGTTAATGACAACAGTGGGTAAAACGGGCTTATTTTTCTGGATTTCTCTACTAACTTTGGATAGTGTATGCTGCGGTTCCTAGACTTCCATTACCAACCAACCATCAGTGCAGATTATTGACTGATTATTCTCGGACAGGCAAGAATTTTACGTGCGCTTCAAGGGCCCTGAAGAGAGTGCGTCTTGCCACTTCCCTCAAAGCTCCGCATATACTGACCAATAATAGCACCGTTTGCTGGCGGTCACTGGAAGATTCACGTCGAGTTGCCCGATCAATATCCCTACAAGAGCCCGAGCATTGGTTTCGTGAACCGGATCTTCCACCCGAATATCGATGAATTGTGAGGCATCCCAACAAATCGCTCAAAGTCCGTCGTTAACCTCTCATTTTACGCAGATCTGGCTCAGTGTGTCTTGATGTCATCAACCAAACCTGGTCGCCGATGTACGATATGATCAACATTTTCGAGGTTTTCCTCCCTCAGCTCCTGCGGTACCCGAACCCTTCAGACCCGCTCAACGGCGAGGCTGCTGCGATGTTAATGAGGGAACCCAAAAGCTACGAGGCCAAAGTAAAAGGTGTGTGTTACAATGATCGGCTCAGGACAGCACTTACTGATTGGATTGACAGAATACGTGGCCAAGTATGCTAGCAAAGAGGCAGTTGATGAAGCCGGAGAGGATACAGAGTCCGAAGATGAACTAAGCTCGGCTGGGAGTTACGAATCTGGTGGTGAGGAACCAGCTGGTACGATGGATGACGTGTAGATCAATCGTCGGAATCTTGGTCGGTTGCTCAAACCCTGTGCGCATTCTGTTGCATTATGCCATCTATTTTCCTATATTCACCTGTTATTCTATCGGAACAAGGCTGGCGGGCGTTACTGGCGGAGTTATCACTGATTTTCAAGACCCAACTGACGTTTGCAGCCGCTGCGCCAAGGTCAAGGTCACGATTTGCTAATTAGCAATCGACTGGACTTGGCGAACTGTCTGCTCTCCGACGTTGTGTGCATCTGGATTACTCTCTTCCTCTGTACTCATGGTTCCTTACAGCATCTAGTAGTATATGCATGTTGATAAGCCAAGATTATTTATACAGTCTCCGCCTCTGCAAGAATTGCAGTAAGATCAATTTTCTGAAGATGGAGACATTACTCGAGACTACGGATCTGCTCATAGTGTTGTGCTTGCACAGACATGCCCATTAGCTATGCCACTATCTAATAACACGATACTGCCTCTTGATATGAGGAGTGTCAAAAAAAAGGAATCTACCCAAACATGATGAATATGCAACACAAAGGAAATGTATACCTGACAAGTGCAGTAATAGTAAGAGAGGACGCAAGGGGGTATTAATCGTCGTCAAGCAACGGGAACTGAAAGAAAAGAAGGATTGGCCGAAATCACCCGACAAAGAAGCGAAAGAGTCGAAGTCCGCAAGCGAAGAAAGTAGAAAACACCCGTCGGCCGGCGACCCAGTAGAACGAAGAAAAGGAGTGCAGCGTAGCAACGTGCGATCGTGCCCCCGTCATCCGCAAGTTTCACGTCACCTTCAGAACTCCAAAGACATCTCGGCCGTTTGTCTCATCTGTGTTCAGACCTGGCCGGGCCTTCTTCCCTTTCCTCGGGTTGATGACAACCTCTCCCCAGTGCTTGTGGGCGATGCCGTCGGTTGCGGTGCCAGACTTGGACGATGTCGGTGACTTCGACAGGTCGCCTGTGATTATTTTGACGGGGACGTCGCTGCTCGAACTTGCTTTTGAGGTCACGGAGCCGTGTAGTGTTGCGCGTGGTTGGAGATGGGGTTGCGGTTGGAGGGACCAGATGTCGATGACGGACCTAGGTGTCTGGATTAGCTTCTTGTTCGGGAGTCGGTGGTATACGGCCAGCTTGGAGACGAGGGAGCAGCAGATAACTACTCACTCTGAGGTTCGCTGGCAGATTGCTTCGAGGGCTTCCCGTTCGCGCTTTATGTTCTCTGGGTCGGGGTTGTTGATCTGATTCGCGTGGTTGAGAGCTCCATAGCCGTAGCCGGACTGGTAGATATCGTCGTCCAGCAGACGCGAGGACTCGGCCTAGAGAACCGGACCGTTAGTATGCCTGTTTGTGGATTTGGAATCCATGACCAGCCGCATCATGCGATTGCGGCGGCATGGTCCTTTCTCTGTTTGGTGCTGAATCACAATTACATACATCATGGCTTTCCCGGCGATTTAGCCCAAGGCAAGAAGCACAGGCGCCCATTGATCTCGATGTATTATAAAGCGGTGATCGAGTCTCGAGTGCCGGGTAGTAGGATAGTCGCACGAGCTTCGCAAAGGAAAGATCGAGTCGTAATGGATATCCGAATGACGGAAAAGATAATGTAAGGAATGCAAGAATAACAAAGTACAACTATCAACCGCGGCAGGAAACCGACGGGTGATGCTGGGAAGGTGAGGTATGGGGAACTCTCTGAGTCGCACGAGCACCCGCTATCAACTGGATTTGTGAAGGAATCCGGTGTTTTCGATTGGTCCGTGCGCCTCCATGACATTGAACCCCAGATCAGGCTCATTCTTCATCTGCCCGCATTCCTTGCTTGATATTTGGAATCCCGTCACATTCCTTCATCAGACTAAAGATCTGGTGAGAAATCTGATCTATTGATAAAAATCATCCCTGTGATTTGACTATCTATCGATGCTTTGGATCAAAATTCATGCTTTTTAGGCCCCATCAAGCATCACTAGCGGTGCTCTGAGATGCCATGATTTTCTACTACCTGAGTTAACCACACAATGATAGCAAGCTTATCTTTCGTTATCTGCCAATTGTTCTCTCAATCTAGTTCCTTGGTCTTCGACAAGGCTCTTCCTGATGCCTTATTTTCTCGGAATCTTGCGGCCCAGTCGCACTGCCCATGAAAATGGGCTTTTTCGACAAGGAAGCAGACGATCACTCCTTTTTGGGAACTAATTCAAGAAACGGAGCCACCTCTGACAGCGATATGATCTAGACTCTGTACGGAAAAGCGCTACAACCCTGTCACCTCTGTTGTTGTGTCTCCTCTTGCTCATGGCGGACCCCGCATTATAATGCCCCTCCCTCAACAGCTCAGGCTCTTCTACGTATAATTATCTAGTCTCCTTCAAGCGTGCTCATATATAGTCACCACCCAACCCATCTAATATATCAATCATGCCCGGACGGCTCGAAGGAAAGGTTGCCATTGTGACAGGCGCCGGATCAGGCTTTGGCTACGGCATCGCAAAGAAGTTTGTCGAGGAAGGCGCCAATGTCGTCATTGCAGAGCTGTCGCAGCAAAACGGAGAGAAAGCCGCAGCCGAGCTGAACTGCAAGTTTGTCCTCACCGACGTGACGAGGCGGGAGTCCTGGCAGGCATTGCTGCAAGCAACACTGGATGCATATGGGAAACTCGACATTGTCGTCAATAATGCTGGGGCGACCTATAGCAATAAGCCCACCGCCGAAGTCACCGATGCAGATTTTGACCTGTGCATGAATGTCAATATCAAATCGATCTACCTGTCCACGAGCGTCATAGTGCCGTACTTTCTTGAGAATAACCGGCCCGGGTCGTTTATCCAGATCTCATCGACGGCTGCACTGCGTCCTCGTCCAGGCTTGACGTGGTACAATGCTTCAAAGGCAGCTGTAAGCAATGCGACCAAGACTATGGCCGTCGAGTATGGGCCCAAGCAGATTCGTTTTAATTGTGTCTGTCCTGTCGTTGGTAGTACAGGGATGTAAGTATAAAGCTGCGCACCGCTGATGCAAAGACTTGAAAGTGACTCACATTGCAACATCTTTAGGACACATTTATTCCTTGGTAAGCCAGATACTGAAGAAAACCGCGCTGCTTTTGTTTCAACTGTGCCGCTGGGTCGGCCCAGTACTCCTCGGGATGTTGCGAATACTTGTTGCTTCCTCGCGAGCGATGAAGCGGAATTTATCACGGGAGTGAACTTGGAGGTAGGTACCGACACCATTTGGTTCAAATCAGCACTAACTAATGGCTACTGGGATTCAGGTGGACGGCGGTCGTTGTGTTTAGTCTATATATATAGCAAATTTCATAGTGGGCCTACGTCAAAGTTACACCTTTTACAGTTTGTGTATTCATATTGAATGGTGGTCGGGGGTCACCCTCAGCGAAATTTCGCCCAGGACATTAGTGGTCAGTGGAAGGAGAAATTAAAGGTAGCATAGAGACAAGCTATGGCATGTATATATATATCAGTATCTGGACCATACGGATTGATGAACGTGCATTCCAGATAGAAGCTACCTTTCTTCACAGAAATAGGCAATCCTATTCACTGCTCAGATTCTATCAAGGAATGAATGAGATTAAGAATATCAACCATAGCTTAGCTGGGTTTGATGCACTTGCAGATCGCCGGGATCGTGGCCGTAGAGATGCCCCGGGCGTGGAAGAAAACCGATCCACAATTTTCGGAATCAGCATTTCGCTCCGCACGAAGAGCATTCTTGACCAACACAATCGCCTGGCAAGCAAAAGGGGCCCTGACACAGCTTTTTCAATGGCCTAGATCTTCATATAGACACTCGCAAAATTCCATCGATATGTTCGACCTCCCAGACGCAAAACGGTACCGTGATTTCCAAATCTAGCTGTCCATGCCTTGACTGATTTTGAACCTGCTCTACAGCGTTCGTCGCGATGAACTCCTCTCGCGAGATTCGACTTCACGCTCACCCTCACCGCAACCGGACTCATCGTTTCAAGACATCCATCAGCGTTTGGGCGCGCTCCTCAACCTTGATGCATTGATAGCGCCTGCAGAATCCACCGCTCCAGCACCCAGATCACAGGAGGACGGCCAGCAACAAGAAGATGAGGAGCAGGAATTCGAGTTCCGTTTGTTTAGCGCCCCTGCTGCGCCAACAGCTACAACCAAGGACGAGAAGACGCCTGCGACGGAAGGTCGAGATAAAGCAGTAAGCGGGGGTACCCAAAAATTGAGGATTCGGTTACGCTCGCCGACACCTGGAGCGGTGGATGGGGAGGGACGATTTCTTAATCCCTTCCGAGGGTGGCAGTATTACTTTACAACGCCGGAGCTGCTCACTGGGTCTGGTGCGAAGCAGGATTCGGCTTCGACTTCGACCATCAGGAGGAAGCAATTCGAGGAAGTCGCTGTGACCGGTCAGCAGATGCTGGGTTGGTCGGAGGTGTCCTGGGTACGTGTTGGACTTTCTATCGACTCACTTGGGTTTTATATGGTTTGCTGATTTTATGTTTCGCGCAGCCCGGTTGCCATCTACCATGGCGAGTGATCCATCTCAAGCGGCAGCATACCAAGTTACCTCCTGCATCTGCAGATCCGACTGCAGTCGCGACTATTTGCGTTACGGACCCTCCGTTGAAAGACCCTAAATCTCGAAAGAAGCCCGGCAAGAAGCGACGTATCCAGTTGCGGAAGCGAGTAAAGTCCGCAGAGGAGGAGAAGCTGAAGGAGGCCGAGAAGCGAAATCGCAAGAACCGGGAGAGGAAAATCAAACGGAGACAGAAAGCACGAGAATTGAAAGCTGCGGCTGCAGCTGCATCGGGACAAAGTCAAGATGTCGCGGAAATGGAGATGAAAGATGCTTCTGATGCGAGCGATTGAGAATACTGTTAACGGACTGCCGTTCGTTTGCGATACTCTATGATTAACCTGCAATTCACTGAACTGCGATGGTCTACCATGACTACAATAGTGAGAGCACTAAGATGGCGCTTGTCATCACGCGAGCTACAGCGCTCTAATTATCTGACCGAGGGAGAGTATAGACAAAACGAGGGGTATATATGCAACGCAAACACGGCAACGACAACGACGACGACAATAAAAGAAGGTCAACTCAACAAAAGAAACATTGGGGTATTATGCGGCGACTGTCCGCTACTGCGAAAACATGAAAACGCGAGTAAATATCGAATTCAGAGGGACTGTTACTAGATTTCGTTCAAAAATGATATCTGGCGAAAGGCAAACGATTATTTGGCTTCCTCGGCTATTTTTGGTCAGCATAATCGACCTCGATCTTCCAAGACCCAGTTACCTACTCTTGGGCGGCTCCGCAGTCTCAGCGGGCTTTCCAGCAGCAGGCTCAGCAGCCGGGGTTGGGACAGCAGGGGTAGTTTCCGCTGGAGCAGCCGCGGAAGTAGTTGTCTCCGGAACACTGGGAGCAGCAGCAGTAGCGGCTGTCGTGGGCTCGGGAGCAGGAGCCTCTGTCTTCGTCTCGGGGGCTGGGGTAGTGGAGGGCCCGGGCTGCGTCTCGGTGGGTTGTGTTGCCGCCTCTGTTGACTTATCTGCTACGGCTGCGTGCTCTGCAGAGTATTAATTCGTGTGACATTGGGCGAGACTGGATGAAGCAACATATAATGGAACAACGTACCAGGCTTAGGGTCGGTAGCAGGAGCTGGCTCTGCTGTCTTGGTTTCCGTGGCAGGAACAGCGGCCGCAGCAGCAGCGCCAGCGGCCGGTACGGTTGCTGGTTGTTCTACAGGCTTGTCCGCAGCCGGGGCAGGCTCAGTTTGTTTGTTCTGAGCCTTCTTCTTTCTGCGTGAGAAAATGGCCTTCAAGCCCTTCTTCAATTGCTGAAGAGCATCAGGAGCTGATCAACAGGTCAGACAGCGGCTTAGGAGAGAGCCGGCGGAGCTGGGTTCACATACGGACACCGGGCATCTTGTAGCTGGAGAAGAAATTGTAGCAAGAGGCGGTTAGAGTAGCGAAAAAGGAAAGAAAGGAAAAAACCTTGCTGAAGACGATTTCGCGCGTAGATCTGAAACTCAGAGAGAGAAAAGGAAGAGATGAACTTCCCAGCAAACGAAGGCGAAGGTTATATTATGACTGTTTTGATGGCTTGCCCAACACGTGATGGTTGGGAGGTAATCCTCCTGTCTGTACTCCATACTCCTTTTCGTTTTATCCCTTGTCCAGAGCTGGTTAGATTCGAGCTGGCTGAATACTGCTTTCCTTTGATTGATGAAAGAAATCCTTGGCTAAACTTGAAGCACAGCCACGCGTATGCTCCAGTATCAAGAGCCAAGATCAGCTGGCGAATTGCTATCTATGCCTACTCAACTGTCCTGTCCAGGCGGTTCATTGATTGGTCGTGGAGCTAAATACCAGCTCCAATTCTCCGAGAATAAAGTCCATTACGGGGTAGATCGGCATAAGCTATAAGTGTGGGGATAACGGCAAGTCGCCTACATTTGACGAAACAAAAGGGGGAATAAAGGCTACGGAGATTATCCATCGTAAGTATTGATGACACGCCCCCTCGAGTCTACCGGGTTAGAGTGAGAGAAACAGCTCCGATCGATTCGTTTCCTCATCTGCAACTCCGTTGCCCATGGACAACAGCATTTAAAAGGATAGTCACAAAGCTCGACATTGCTCGCCCGAGTTATTCGTCCCATTGAAGAAAGCACAAGTGAAACCCCTCCGTCACACCAATCGTTTGTCACTCAATTTCTCAGACTCTGGAGCGCTTAGCGAAACAATGACTTTTCTTATTACATTGTCTCACATAGGGAGTGAGGAGATTGCCTCAATCTGAAATGAAACACCAACAGGAACACTGGGCAACCAGCAATGGCGTCTGAGTCTGCAACCTATCCTACAGCTATTAGTCTAGTATCTACCGGGCAATTATCCTGATTAAGCATGGACAACACGACAGTCGCAATCTCCGGGAATGAACCGTGTCTGCTGTGTAAATAGTGTCCCCTAATTGTTCTCTCCAAACTAGCAAGACTAAGTTAGCAAGGGGAACCAGAACGGAGCATCTCAGAGATGATCGCAGATGATGGAGATCCTCGGTTCGTGGAACCAGGGAAAGCATCTACTATAGAGTTGAGAAGCCGAATCAAAGCCCGAAGGTAAAGGACCGATGATATCATGGTGAACATGTAGAGCACAGAGTCTATCTTTGGCATTATCCCTATTTGGCGAAATTATGAACCGTTCACACAACAAGAGCTCGCATAGCTCAGTTGGTAGAGCGCATGACTAGTAATCATGAGGTCAGCGGTTCAAATCCGCTTGTGAGCAATTTTTTTTAGTTCTTCTTTTCTCATTTTTCAAATTATCCAGCTAAATTTCAGCCAAAATAAGAACCTCTGGCTTCGCCATTGAGTAGCAAAATAAGTGGGGGAAAAAGCAAAAAAAGTAAAAAGGGGGAAAAAGGGAGCGCCGCGGCACCTTGCATGCAAAACAAACGTGATAACCAACTACAAAATGGCCCCTCTGGTTGTCAGGAGGCGAGAAGGCGCCAGGCCAAGCGACGGGCATCGAAGTCGCGACGAGACCTTTTGTAAAGCATGTTGCTTTGTCTCGTTCTATTCTATAGTTGTCTTCGGACTGGGCTACTAGGATTTAATTTCATAGTTAGGCATCATCGCCAATTTCGCCCTTGGCGCCTGTTTACAAATTGAAAAGACTTCATTCAGTACTTTCAATAAACTAATCTCGACAATATTTCCCAGCCAATCAGCTCGCATAGCTCAGTTGGTAGAGCGCATGACTAGTAATCATGAGGTCAGCGGTTCAAATCCGCTTGTGAGCAAACCTTTTTTTTTTACCCACTCTCTTGTTTTCCAGAGAGTGTCGGTTCTAAATAACTTTAAATCTGGTGAAATTATCTGAAGAGGGCCCTACCTTGCTTCTCTTTAATTACAAAGTATCATTATCAGAACATTGAATAGATTTAAATAGACATCTTTTTTAAATCAATTTCCCTCTAGATAGAGTCCGCTTACGTCAGAGAAGGCTGATTTACTGAAGGATTTGGTCCAATGGCGGTTTGATGACTTGATTAGACAGAGTTAGTCTCCACAAGCTTATCAGTACCTAGGTATCTCCATGGCTATGCCAAGGTGGGCTCTTTTCAGCAAAGAGTTTAGATAACTGTTACTGGCTCAAGCTTGCTCACATCCAGAGCCGAGACATCGGCATTGGGCTCAACTTCAGATAAAGAATGCGGTCCGACCACTCCACAGTCTCAGAGCAGACACCGCTCCTGAGGGAACAGACTCAACCCCCAGGCATTGACACCCATGAACATGATGACAGTGCAGTCGACCCAGGGCAGGAGCCCACGTTCAAGGAACTAATTGTGATTCTTGGATGTATATGGTTAGGTGTCTTCCTGGCTGCATTAGGTACTTGCACCCTCGCCTGGCTCGGTGACAGGCAGTGTTTGAGTCTATAACTGACCGCTGCAGATACAACAATCGTTGCAACTCTCACTGCGCCCATTTCGTCATCGTTCAATTCCTTCTCTCTACTTTCTTGGCTAGCCAGCTCATACCTGATCTCCAATGCTGCCTTTCAACCGCTGAGCGGCCGATTGACTGACATCTACTCGCGTCGCGCTGGTTTAATTTTTTCGAACGTGTTCTTCGCTGCCGGGAACTTGATATGTGGTTTGGCCAAGAGCGAAGGGACCATTGTACTAGGCCGTGTTGTGGCAGGAATTGGAGGCGGTGGTCTGACGGCCATCGCGACATTTGTCACATCGGATCTGGTTCCTCTTCGCAAACGAGGTGTCTGGCAAGGTATTGGTAACATCTGTTATGGAGCTGGAAGCGGGCTCGGCGGTGTTTTCGGAGGATGGATCAACGACACTCTGGGATGGAGATGGGCTTTCTTGATACAGGTGCCCTTCGTTGTCGTATCATGCATCCTTGTTGCCGTGACAGTGAAGATACCCGTCAAGGAAACTGACACGGCTAAGTTGAAGCGGGTGGACTTCTTAGGAGCTATCACGCTGGTCATTACACTTGTCTTGTTGCTACTCGGACTTAATACCGGAGGTAATCAGGTGCCATGGACTCATCCGTTGATCCTCACGACATTGCCGCTTTCCGCTGTGTTTCTCTTCATCTTTATTCACATCGAGGCAAACATTGCGTCCGAACCAGTCATCCCTGTGCGTCTGCTCCTCGACCGGACCGTATCCTCGGCCTGTCTTACCAACTGGTTCAGTACCATGGCGATCTTCGGACTCCTCTTCTACCTCCCCTTATACTTTCAGGTTGAGGGCCTATCGGCCACTGCCGCTGGCGTCAGGCTGATACCCCAGGCGCTTGGGACATCCCTTGGCTCTCTTGCTTCGGGGTTTCTCATGCGTGCTACCGGACGGTACAAGATACTTAACAACCTCTCCATGATTCTTCTCGTCGCTGCAGGTGCCCTGATCTGCACTCTGAACCTGGCAACACCTGCTTGGATCCCTTTCGTCTACTTCTTCTGCCTGGGCACGGCCTACGGCAGCATGCTCACCATCACCCTTGTGGCACTTATTTCTGCTGTAGACCACGAACACCATGCTGTCATTACTTCCGCATCCTATGCATTCCGCAGCACAGGCAGCACAATCGGTATCACCATTGCATCTGCAGTTTTCCAAAATATCTTGAAGTCAGGGCTGTGGTCGCGCTTCGGCGATCGTGATCATGCCCGAGAGATTATCTCACGCATCAGGGACAGTCTGGACGCGATCCATAAGCTTCCCGAGGGTTGGAAGGCAGGAGTTTTAGACGCATATATGGATTCTTTGCGGGCGGTTTTCCTCACATTACTTGGACTCAGCGTCTTGGGGGCCTTGGCCAGCATGGCCATGCGGGAGCACAAGTTGCACAACAATCTGGCCCGAAGGGACGGTGAATAGTTATGCTATCCGTATTCTACATAGACAAGTATATACTGTGTGTATATATATATATATTTAAGTAGGCGCTAGATAAGCTGCCGAGTGTCTCCTAATGCAGCTAGTTTCTGTGCTACTGGCACACCGTAATTATGTTGTGGTTTATATCAACCAATCAGAGCCCTGAGATTCCACATGATCTCTGTCCCCGCCGATAGCCGTACAGTAGGTACCTTACAAAAGGGCGGCCCATGAAGTCTGCGAGGGTCTTACGATTGCTTGTTTTGCCCCCAAGATTTCCGTGTTGTATCAGAGTATCTTTCCTTAGCCCACAGCGCTCCAGGTATTTCGAGTGGTTTCTCCACAGTCTTGACACAGCGACTCACTTTCGAACGGTTGCGGTAGCGGTGGCGTCACAGACGGAGCATCGCTGATAGTGCGAGAAGACGTGGCGACACCAAGTTTCAGCGAAACGGGGGACAAGGTGACCATAACAAGTTTTCTACAGCAAATTGGCCTGGAACCGAGAGCTCTATCCTGGGAACCGTCGAGTTAACTTACGATCCACTTTCTTGCGTTGTTCTTGACCGCTTTCTTGGACCATACGACCAATTCGAGTCTATTAGCTCACTCGTCTCTTGACACGTTCGAGCCGTTATTGTCAAGCTGCATTAAAGAGCAGACATTGGGCGTTGCCACCACATTTTACATGGATTCAATATCATTGCCTATGGAAGGAGAGCTTTTTGGGCTGCAATTGAAGTAACCTGATTTCATTGGGCTCTGGTGTCAATACGTCCTGGTTACCTTTTTGGCTTCCTTGTCGCTTTTACTAGCAGATTCTCCTTCGCTCGTCTTCGCGGAGTAGAGGTGTACGGCGAAAGCTCGGGTCATTGAATTACCCTCTTTGAACCCTTCTTGGCGTCCGGATAGTCTCTTTGGACTTTTCGATTTGCTCTTCGGACCACAAAACTTTGCTCCGTATCAGTCAACTCGTCACTACCTTTCTCTAGCCGATTTCAGCGGGTGTTGGCCATATTCTTGGCATGGCAGTGGGGTTACGGCCGGATAGTCCTACGAAATCTGGTGTTTTAGCGGGTGTTTTCTCAAAAAGCCTCCTGCCGACTGAAATGGAGATTGATGGGGAGACTGAGGAGATATCAACTCGGCAATCGACATTTACCAATACCAGTTCGAACGAAGTCGTGGAAGATGTCGCCTTTTCATCGGAACGCCGCCGAAGGCGCATATTACTGTCGACGGAAAGCGTCTTTGTCGATAACATACTTCCCTCCCTTCTCCAGAACCCGGATATCGAACTACGGCTGATCACGGACGAGCCTTCGGCCCTCTTAGCAGGCGCAAACAAGATTCCTCACTACATGGATACTGTCGATAGTCAAACATTTGAGAAGAAAACCGGTGCCCGAAGGTGGCTTAAAGCCAAGGCAGCAGAGCTCAGTGAATGGGCTGATGTGCTCCTTGTTGCCCCAATCGATGCTGGAACTCTGGGGTCGATGCTATTTGGCCTTACCAACACATTGACGCTGGCGCTTCTTCGTGGTTGGATTTCAACCAAACCTGTCATCCTTATACCCGGAATGACTGTTTCGGAGTGGGAACATCCTCTTAGCAGTAGACAGCTGGCAGAAGTCGACCGATATTGGCCTTGGGTCAACATTGTCAGACCAGCCCTCTGGCGGTCGAACGGTCCCGAGGAACTCGTTCAGTTACATTGGGATGGTCTAGGAGAGTTACACGATACTATGGAGCGGACCCTAGGGCTGTCTTTCGCTGAGTCCTCGACAATTTCTGGACAGGCTCTCGACTGTACACAACAAGTAGTCCCGTCAGCGACCAAACAGTCGGCGAGTGCAATTTCAGCGGCACAGCATCTTCGGAAGGGCGCGCGATCACTACCTCTCGAGTTATGGCTTAACATATTCGAAGAACAATTGCAAGATTGGGAAATTGCCAAAGCAGTTGGCATTCCTACAAACCTGCCTGTGCCTAAGGAATGGCAGTCTCACCTACTCAAGATGTCTACTCCGGCATCTCTGGAATACACGATCCTAAGAGGGTCCTTTGCTGCTATCAAAAAGCGTATAGACAGCCTACCACGGTGGAAACCGCTGTCAGACTTAGCCTGTCACCTCATCTTCAAGTTCTCACGAACTGACGTACTGTCATACTTGACGGAGAACCATCTTGATCTGCTATGGACTACATCTCGCCTAACAAAACTGCCGTACCGCGCGTCGGCGATATACGGGAACCCCAAGATCTTAACATGGTGGCAGGAGGCACCTGCGCTGCCGAACAAGGATTACAGTGCCGATGCGATGGATGGAGCCTCTCGCGCCGGCTTCGTCGAGGTGCTCGAATGGTGGCGAACATCGGGACTCGAGTTACGGTATACGGAAAGAGCACTCGAGTCTGCCAGTGCCGAGGGTCGAGCAGCGGTGCTTGAATGGTGGAAGAATGCCTCTGCAAATGCTCCATCATCGAATCCTATCCCGCTGAAAGTAGGAAAATCCGTTTTACTCGCTGCACAGTCTGGTCGAGTGGAGTCGCTAGCTTGGTGGGATGCTTCGGGCATTCCGTATAGTCACGCAGAGTCCGTTGCCCGCATTGCCAGCACTCACGGCCATGTCCATGTCCTAGACTTCTGGTACGGGCTAAAGGGACCCAAGATGATCTTCGACAGTCAGGTGTTGGTTGGACCGACCAAGAACGGACATGACAACGTTCTGGAATGGTGGCGCCGCAGTGGTCTGCGAGTGGAATTCAAAACATGCGACATTGAAGAAGCTCTCGAGGATGCGGACCCTGTCTCCGGCGCGGAGGGACGCGTCCGTCGGTGGTGGGCTCGCAACGGGCTCAACCTGGGCGTTGGAACAAGCGAATGGATGAAAACTAAAGTGCTCTGAATTCTGCCCATTCGTTTTCATCGTGCGTCTGATTCTGCTGCTTCCTATATTCATGACCCAATCATTCGAGGAATATACCCAACTTGTTTTGCTGTAGATTACGGCGTTCTGCACACACACATACATACATAGCCTCATGAGAAATGAACTAATGATGTCAATGGATCTTCACATTCACTAAACCTCCCATCGAACAATATGCTTGATCTCCGAGGAGTCCATAAACTCTTTGATCTTCGAAAATTCCTGGAACCCTTCTGACTGGGCAAAGTCGAGATGCTGCTGTACCTCTGTCCACCCACTAAACAGCACAAACTCCTCCTTCCCTTCTTCCTTCTCAATCTTCCACCCCTTGAAGATAGGTAACGGCTTCGTGAACTCCTCTAGATGATGCTGCGCCTCCCCGAAAACCCGGCTAAACCCCTCTTTCTTCTCAGCGCTCATGAAATACCGCCCCACAGCGACAACAGGTGCTTCGGTCAGTAACTCCCCCTGTCGCACTGCATCACCATCCACATGAAGCAACCATACCAGCTCCATCTCTCCCGAGAGCTGTTTCATGATTTCCTGATTTGTAGCCGAGGGAATCCAATCTTCGTAGTGCTGTTGCGCCGAGTCCCATCCTCCGATGAGGTAGATGAGCGAGGGATCCTCGACTTGGAAGAAAATACGGACGGGGTAAGAGGAGAATTCGGCTTGCGCTTTGATGCCTTCGAGGAGGAGTGCTTTGAATGATGCGGAGGGAGGCTGAGATTTTAAGCGCAGGAGCGCGATTTCGGTGACTGGGGCGGTCATTTCTTCTCTTCGGATACGTTGTGGTAGTTGGAGTGATTGCTGATCAGAGTCAGGAGTTAGAAGTAAGATGTGTCGTTGTCGGGATTGCTGTGCCTTTTTATATCACTGAGTCATGGCAGGAAGGGTTACTCAAATGTTGACTGCCGTTTTCCCAATTGGGAGATGCTGACGTCGAAATGGTGCCTAAATAGTTAGGGTGGAGGCGTTCAACCTTTCGCGTAGCGTACGATGCGAAGACCGAACGAAACTACATGAGCTTTGGTTTGGGTTCAGTTTGAGCAGATGAGATGTCATTCTTGCGACTGCATCCTCCGGTTCAGCTGCTCGATACTGAGAATCGATAATAGATGCAATATTTCACTTGCACTTTGTCAACGCTCCGAGAAAGTATACATAAGAGCAGACTTGCAAAGATCGCCTCCATTTCTAGAAATTCATTCCTTTAAGCCCATACAATAGCTAAGAGCGTGCTGCTGACTATAAATAACTCGGGTATAATCCGCCTGAGCGATTTTCTAAACCGTTGATGCTAATTGGTCCCCCTTCATTTTCCTTCCCCTCATTAACGTCGAAATAGTAGACATGGAGAATCATCAGAGGCATAAAAAGTATAGGGAACATGGCGTTACGAGCGAAATAGAGAAGACGGTTTCAAACTTCTCTCCTATACAGGAATTAGGTGGAACTATGCGTAGCAGGGAGACCGTAAAAGATACATACCATGTAGGCTCAGTCTTCTCAAAACCAGGGGTGCGGATAGCGTTTCTGTCGCCAAATGGGTTGTTCTCGTCGTCGTCGTCCTGATCGGTCTCGGACTCACTGGCACTAATGTACTTGTGCTGCGAGGATGACGGTACGGATATGCTCAAAGGTCGAGGAGGCCGAGGAGGTTTGGGAGGGTTAACGACCAGTCCGGCAAAAGATTCATTGAGATCGTCTCGGTCAGGAGACCAGCCGCTTTCAAGCACATCCTGGTCACTGTCGCTATCATAGTCTATACTCTTGTCCAGGACTTCGAACGCCATAAGAGCAGTAACCAGCTCCTCATTGGCGTGGATAAGACTTCCCAGATATTCCTCGCTCTCAACATGCTGAATGTACCGGAGAATCTGCCGTCTAAGGAGCTTGCAGGTCTCAAACCGGTTGAGACATTCCGCATCTTCGCTCACCCGGTGCGTTTCTCGATTCACACGCTTGAGCGCATTCAGAAGGTTGGTACTAGCGACCGAGGAAGACGCGAGTGTCTGTAGCATCTCCGGCTTCTCCTTCTCCAAATTGAACGACCTGTTAAGTATTTTTTTCTCCTTTTCTTTCTTGTCTCTCTTGAAAGAAGATTTGCTCGATGTATGTTTGTGCTTGGGACTGCTTAAGACAGTGCTAGGGCCGTTTCCTACGGAAATAGAGACCGTATGGCCCAGTTGCGGCTCAGTGGTAGTCGTATTACCAGTATCACGGAGAACTTTCGCCTTGGCCTGGGTGGCGGGCTGTTTGCGCTTTGGAAGCTGCCGGTAAAGTGCTGTCACACCTCCCATCCCCGGTGTGTCCTTGTAGGATACTGCCCATTGCCCAAAAAGTTGCTTGCACTTCTGCTTGACCAAGGGATCAGATACTGGATCGGTGGCTGCGATTCGTAGACGTTCCAACAGTGGTTCATCTGCGAACTCTCGCAAGAATCGATCTCCGGCATTCTGTATCAGAAAGTCAAGAATAGTAAGAGCTCTCAGCTGGCGATGCAGATTGCCATATTTACTAGAGAAACATTAGAATAAGTAGGACTGAGATGAAAGGGATAGATAGCTGAACTGACAGTTTCTTACGCAACGCACGACTTGCTTCAGTCGGTCCGCTGCTCTGAATGCGAATCGCTTCGATGAGGTCGACAATTCCACTCGAATCTTCAATCTCGTATTGCTCACTGGTGAGCACTTCAATCTGAACGGTCACAGCCGAGTATGGTTTCTGCGCGAAGTATCGTTAGTTCTGCATGGCTTTCCATATGATCAATTCCAAAGAACTTGATATGCAAATCCCCCGGACAGACTCTGATGACTTAGATATGAAGCATCAAGAATTCTGCGACAATTCCTATATCAATGATCAATGCTCACTTACTGCTGAGTGGAACATGACGTTGTCATTCAAAGGTCTTATTGGGTAAATAAGTATCAAGGCAGTCAAAGCGCACAATGATTTCCCCAGGCGAACTCAGTGTAACTCCTCTTTTGACAAGCTCGGCCCTTGTGAGACCCAGAGATCAGTAGTCGAGGAATTAGAGCTCGTTTTCTGCAATGTCGTGTATAGCTCCTAAATCAGCGTCTCGGCACAATTATGAAGTTAGGCACAGCAATAGCCAGACGGTGACGTGTTAGGCCTGTTAATCCGACCGAGGCCGTCGTGTGCCCTGGCGGCAGTGCTAAAAGCCCAACACACGAGCACGGTTGACTAAGAAAACGAGGCTGGTTCGCGCAAGGCCCCGAATGCTAGGCCTTTCACGCCACTGATGAACAATGCAGCAGTAATTTGAAAGGGTGGCGTATATGACTATCTACAATTAGGTAGACATCATCTCTGTCGTCCAACTCTGTAGATAGCGATACGTACCCCTACTCCTCCTTCCCCGATTAAGGACCTATCTCGTGATTGCCCCTCTCCCGCACCCCGAAGTAGTTTAGGGCGGGGAGAGAGGTGGGAATTAGATGCCTGGATGCCTGGGCTTTTCCGAATGTACGTCCGATTACGCTGATAAAAACAGTCAGGAGTAGATAATTCTATATGGATGATGACTATCACTGCAGGGGATTGATGACTGGGGGCGATCTGGAATAAGGAGTATTACCAGAGCACTGACAATTGCTGCTGAGCAGCATCTTACGTATGCCTTCTTCACCTTCCCAATGGGTCCTCGGTCTATAAATGCGGCTGATCGCTCCTCAGTTCGCCAGTCGTCCTTTTCAATCTTCTCCCGTTTTATCCTCTGCTCCACTCTTCTGCTCGGAGTCAGTATCGTCCTTAAAACCCGCCCGCGCATATTTACCTCCCTCCCCGCCTTGCCTTCTTCACCCCATTATACCCAAACTGCCAACATGTCCTACCAACAAGAGCGCTACATTGCCGAACTGGCTGTTCAGCGAGCAACACTTCTGACACAGAAAGTTTTCCACGAGAAGGCCAAGGGCACGGTTTCGAAAGACGACAAATCGCCCGTCACCATTGGCGACTTCGGCGCTCAAGCTCTAATCATCCAAGCCCTCCGCAAGAACTTCCCCAACGATGAGATCGTCGCCGAAGAGGAGGCTAGCTCCCTTCGGGAGGACAAGACTTTGAGCGCAGAGATCTGGAGACTGGTCAAGGATATCAGATTGGAAGACAACGAGAGCAATGAGCTCTTGGGTGGTCTCTTGCCAAGCGAAGATGCGATGCTGGACATCATCGACCAAGGCAAGAGCGCAGGAGGTCCCAAGGGTCGTATCTGGGCTCTGGACCCCATCGATGGCACAAAGGGATTTCTCCGGGGCGGCCAGTATGCTGTGTGTCTTGGTTTGATTGAGGACGGAGACGTGAAGGTCGGTGCTATTGGTTGCCCCAACTTGCCCGTGGACGATTCGGTTGCCATGACCGCCAGTATCGGCGCTGGCCAGACTGATGGCGCCGGCATGGGAGTACTTTTCTCGGCCATCAAGGGCGAGGGAGCTATTAGCCGACCCCTATCGAATGGTGCTTTAGCCGAGAGCAAGCCAATCTCGATGCGTCCCGTTCCCGATATCAAACAAGCCGTTTTCTGTGAAGGAGTGGAAGCTGCCCACTCCGCTCAAGGCGACAATGCTGCCGTCGCTCAGCTTCTTGGTATCACCTCCTCCAGCGTGCGACTTGACTCGCAGGCCAAGTACTGCTCAATTGCTAGAGGCGCAGGGGATATCTACCTACGGCTACCTGTCAGAAAGGACTACCAAGAGAAGATCTGGGATCATGCTGCTGGCGATCTCATTGTCCGCGAGGCTGGTGGGCAAGTGACCGACATCTATGGCCAGCGGTTGGATTTTAGCAAGGGCCGGACTTTGGCTGCCAACAAGGGAGTCGTCGCCGCTCCTAAGGCCATCCAGGACCAGGTCATTAGCGCTGTCAAGACGGTCCTGAAGCTATAAAAGTGGATGCGAACGCTAACAACAATTGAATCGAATCACTAAGCCCGTTCTAAATCTTTGTTAGACCCTGCACGCTCGATGCGCCTAAAAGTACATGGGATAGATAACAACTGGGAAAACAGGAGAGACTCTGCTTGAATATACATGTACAGAAACAGCCCAAACCCTGTTCCAAGAAAAGGCCAAAGTAAAATACCAACCACCCCAGTTCACCGAATCTTCTTGGCCTTCAGTCTGATTGTTTCTCCATTCACAAAAATACCCTTGCCCTTGTAAGGCTCTGGCTTGCGCCATTCTCTGATCTCCGCCGCGAATTGTGTCACAACGCTCTTGTCAGCGCCCTCGAGCAGAATACGAGTAGGCTGCGGTGTGCTGGCCTTGACCCCCTTCGGGACGCCAAGCTCAATAGGATGAGAATATCCAACCTTGAGAGAGACGAATTGTTGGCCTGGGTATTCAGGTTCCACTGTAGTCGCTGTGGACTCGATGCTCGCTCTGTAACCKACACCGACCAGACTCAAAATGCAAATATGTCCTTCTGATACTCCAAGTACGTAATTCTGCAGATGAGCCCGCATAGTTCCTATAAGCCGCAAAAGTTAGGCGTGGTCCGTCGTATGGGAATCTTAAGAGTCGTTTACATACCCCACATGGCACGTTGATGGGCAATCGAGGGGTCTTGAACAGTCAAACTGGCCTTCCGGAGTGCTTCATCGTGTGCGACCTCAACGAAGGGAGGGATGTTCAAGGTCAATTCACCTATGGGCAACCCGTATGTCAGATTCCGTTTCCGAGACACTCAAGGATGCACACCGTCGCTTACCCAGAGGACCCTTGACCTCAATTGCAGTCTTAGGAATCTCCTTTGACCGGCCTCGCACCTGAGTCTGAGGCAGGTCGACAAACTTTAAAGAAACCTCTGGTGGTATCGAGATCGGAGCGCCGCCTACTCGCGAGTGTGTCGGGGAAGTGGTTGAAAAGCATTGTGTCCGCAGCGGGTGGGAGTATGCAGGTGCCAGGAAGATAGGTAGAGTGGTCTGCCGGAGGGGATTTCGTGTGAGCTGCCTCAAGCAGCTCTGGGGTAGAAGATTCGACATGGCGACGATAATTGTGTTTCGACTGTTCGAGATAGCGGTTGAAACTCCGGATCTCAACTGATTTTGTCCGAAAGGCATATTCTCCAAATTCGGTTAGTGTCTCCTCACGTGACTCTATCAACATCCTATAGATCGAGATCAAACCATCCCAAGCACTCTGTATGTTGTTTATAATTGACTTTCTGCATATTGCCGAGCTCGCTGGCGACGTGCTTGGCCGATTTATGTAACGTATCTTTGTGTTTGCGCTTGATAGTGTAATGTCTGTCTCTTTCACTTTGCTTCTTGCGCTGTTGTTTCGTTCAGCTTCATCTCAGACTACTTCATCCCAGCTTCAGTCTTATGAGAGACTTAACCTGTTCCTCTTTGCATTCTGCTGTCTGCTCTTGACTATTAATTACAACATTCTCCATTGCTCGCATCTTTCTAGGGTCTAGTCTTAGTACCATTGCCACCGAGGGTCTCCATAGATTCTCCTCTACTCTCGGCTTTGTCCTGCATAAGACTCTATTCTCGAGCCAGATGCCAAGGACTCATTTGCCTACGTTCTTGCTTGCCAGCATGTTGCTCTTTTTCCTGCTGATATCAAGTCCTGTCCTCGCTGGGAAGCTGACGACCGGTATGTTCTCGGACAAGGAATTATCAATGCATCATTAACAAGTCAGGGATGTCAGTACCTGCTCATAACGCATCTGCAGAGATTGATCTGGTATCCTTTCTACAGTCAAAATCGCAGCAGCATGATGCTATCTTTAACGAAGCGGTGCAACTACTTGAATCTATGAAGTCGTCACCTTCTTGCAACCGGATTGCGGCTTCAAGGCTCGTCGCATCTTGTCAATCGATAGGGGGAACGACGGATCATACAGAACCAAGTACATATTTAGCATTGGAGCATGTTCGCTCCCTGTACGCGGCGCGACTTGCAGTATGTGAACTCGACGGAGCAGGAGCATCAATCCCTCCTCCATGCCTTCCAGTTACTCTTGAAACCCCGCGGAAGAAAGGATTCTTTGGTTTTTCCTCCAATCATAAATCCACGACCACCACTGCCGACTCTATGCCAACTGAGATTCTAGAATCATGCTTACGGTCACTGGAGTCTCGACCACAGTGGTGGACATCGTATAGTAATAGTAGACAGAATGCCGTGGTAATATGTCAAGCAACGCGGCTTGAGACCGAGAAGGAGGAGCTTCTTGAGCTTCATCGCTCAATAGTCGAAAGCTCCATAAAGCTTAGCCACGGGCTCAAGGAGGCGCTTCAGATGGCGTCTGCAGAAACTTCCCAGCGTCAAGCCTTCATGGACGCGACAGCAGCTTTGCAGGCGAAGCTGACACAAGACCTAGAAGCAACTGAGACTGGCTTTAGAACTCTGCTGGGCAACTTAATGGAAGGTATCGAGTCTGCCGTCAACTCGGTAGTTACGACTGCAACCTCAGCCCTTGCAAGGGTACATGAAGATGCAGCAAGCCTCGAGAAGGTAAGCATCTAGCGATCTTATACCAATACGACTGACATTTGTGCAGGACATTCGAAATGCTACCAATGAAGTCAACTACCTGCGACAGATGCTGCAAGCTGTTTATGATGAAGCTGTAACCAGAGAAGCGCAAACTGTGCATGCTCATGAGCAGAATGTCCAGAAACAGAATGAACTTGCGCTCTCACTTCAGTCCAGGCTCGAGTCCCTTGTGCAGGGTGATGTGGCCCGGCTCTTTCAGGATGTCGAGACTTTTGACGCGTCGCTAGTAAGTGAGCCTTTGCCGAAAGTGACGAACTGACAAGGCTTACAACACCAGTCATGGCTCTCAGAGAGGCTAGGACTCATTCTACAACAAGAGCTGAGCTTGTCCGAGGTTTGTGGTTTGCCCTTCAGATGGTTTCTTGACTGGGCTAATCCCTGAAGCGACTGCGAAACTTCGAGACATCTCTTGAAAACTCTCAATTGAAAGCTGAAGCTTTACATACAGCTCAGCTGCAACAGTTCGATGCGCTTGAAGCGCAATATAGATTACAGCAACATATGGAAACCAACTTTCAAATTTCACAGGCTCTCCTTGACAAGGCGACAGCGACTGCTGCGAACTTACAAGCGATGATTGACGAGACGACGACCAGATATCGAGATTCCCCAATCTTAGGGAATGTTATTGGACCATACTCTGCATGGACAGTGTGTGGTCTTCTTCTCAGTTTTATAGGCGCGCACAATCCAAGATTAGCTCTGGCAGCTCTTTTGATCGGTGCCGGTGAGTAGACCCCCATAGGCTTGCGTCTGATCGCTTTGAATGACACATCTTCAGTTCACCTTACGATGACGAGATTCTACCACGGCGTTCTGTTTTAGCTTCATTCTCTACAAACTTCACGTATCCTTCGCTACTTGCATTATTTAGTCCATATACCTATGTCGTGATTTCGATTTTTTACTGGACAGGCTTGAGCATATGAAATGGGGAGTTCCATGGGTTTATTATTTCCGTCATTATACCAAATTACCCTGAGGCTGGAGGGAATGGGCGCTGATAGTTAAGTGATAATTAGGTCAACCAATGATGAAGAGTTGACGAGATTCCAGTAGAAGCCACATTGATTCCCCGAGTATCACCAATGCTGGACATACTGTGCTATCCTGATTTTCCCAAATTTGTAAACTTCGTCCGCTCAGAGCAAGTCAAATCACTCGAGGATCTTATCATTAAATACTAGCCATAGATCATATGTGTAACAGGTTTGCCCTTTCGGAGTCCAGACACCGAGGACTCAGAAGAGTTAACGCTCCAGTTCCTCTTTCGAGGTCGAAGAATATGTACCGCGGCAATTTGGACCTGTAACCTAGCCTGGTAACGATCATAAATAGCGCGTATCTGTGCTGTATTTCCGCAACCCGCGACATTGAGGACACTTAAAATTTCTCGACAACTTACACTGAACAACAATTTCATAAAATGCCTAAGGATGACTTCCAGTGCGATGGCCATCAGCTTTTAAGGACGCGGGTGTTAACCGAAGATTCGGACTTCCCATGACTGCTCTCGACAGCCCCAACCTGGACGTCTAGCAAGTTCACGCATCTACAATCAGTACCAAGCTTCGAATCCCTGTCTTGAACTGTAATTATCGGCATCGGCATCGGCACTTGCCGGGCAACTTTGACCTTCGGCGTCTCTCCGCATGTATGGGGAAGAAGATTTGGAGATCCCCAGACTTGGCGCATGAGGAAGATACCTGGAGATCCACAGCTAGTCGAAGACATGACTCGACGGACTGGATTTCCCGTCTTCACGTGGAAAGTCCCACTCGCTGCTGGACCGCCGCATAATACAACGTGCCAGAATTTGGTTGATCTTCCTGCATGCTTTGGAACGGCATTGATTATCGGGAAATACTCGTTGTCTAGTCCTTCTTTCATTGGCACAGCCTTGGGAGTTGTGCAAGGGTTGGCCCTGCAACTTGATGAAGATGCTCTTTTCAATGAACTACCCCACGGAGTTATTATTATGATGAGGGTAGATACCTGGGGAAGTGTAATACAAAAGGGGCTGGTCTCCAGCGAACTAAAAGCACCCCGGGACTTTCTGCTGAGAGCAATTCCATAGCGCCAGAACCCTCGTGAGCTGGCTCAGTCAACATGACCAAGCTCTCTCTACTGCCTCTTCTCACATTGGCCTCTGCAGTTCTGGCAGAACAGGATGCTTTTCAGGCCAAATGTGCTAGTTTTGGACACAGTATCAAGCTCCCTAATGTTCACGTGAACTTCGTTGAATATGTCCCTGGAGGGACCAACCTCACCCTGCCCGACAACCCTGTCAGCTGCGGTGCACCCTCTCAGACTGTGTCAGCGGATATGTGCCGGGTTGCTATGGCCGTTGATACATCGAACAGCAGCCAGATCACCTTGGAAGCATGGTTTCCGCGGGATTACACTGGCCGCTTTCTAAGCACTGGCAATGGAGGTCTTTCTGGCTGTATGGCTTCTTCTAATTCTCTTTTGGAGATAGAGCGCCGTTGTGGCTGATATTCTTATAGGCATCCAATACTATGATCTTGCCTATACTGCCGGCTTAGGCTTTGCAACAGTCGGCGCCAACAACGGCCACAACGGAACATCTGGCAAGCCATTCTACCAGCATCCTGAAGTCATCGAAGACTTCGCATACCGCTCAATTCACACCGGTGTCGTAGTTGGTAAACAGCTCACCAAGATGTTTTATAACGAAGGCTTTGACAAGTCCTACTACCTGGGATGCTCCACCGGTGGTAGACAAGGCTTCAAGTCGATCCAGAAGTACCCCAATGACTTCGACGGTGTTGTGGCTGGTGCTCCAGCCTTCAATTTCGTCAACCTGATCTCGTGGAGTATCCACTTCTACTCGATCACCGGATCAAACACATCGGATACATACCTCTCGCCGGCTTCGTGGAAGGTCGTTCATGATGAGATCGTACGACAGTGCGACGGAATCGACGGGGCAAAGGACGGCATCATCGAGGATACAGATCTCTGCCACCCTATTCTCGAAACAATCATCTGCAAGCCAGGTGCCTCTAGCACGACCAGTTGTATCACCGGTGCCCAGGCGAAGACTGTTCGCAATGTTCTCTCCCCATTTTATGGTGTGAACGGAACTCTGCTGTATCCTCGCATGCAACCCGGCTCCGAAGTGTTCGCTTCGCCGATCATGTACAACGGTCAGCCCTTCAGCTACAGCACCGACTGGTACCGCTATGTCGTCTACAACAACCCCAGTTGGGACGCCACCAAGTGGACGGTGCAGGATGCCGCGGTTGCTCTGGCACAGAACCCCTACAACATCCAGACCTGGGACGCGGATATCTCTTCCTTCCAGAAGGCGGGTGGAAAGGTCCTGACATACCACGGTATGCAGGACCAGCTGATCAGTTCGGATAACTCGAAGCTGTACTATGCGCGCGTCGCAGAGACAATGGGCCTTGCCCCTGAAGAACTGGATGACTTCTACCGCTTCTTCCCCGTTAGCGGAATGGCGCACTGCAGAGGAGGAGACGGCGCCTATGGCATTGGCAACGGGCTGGCGACATACAACGGTGCTGAACCAGAGAACAACGTCCTTATGGCAATGGTTCAGTGGGTCGAGAAGGGGACTGCTCCGGAGTTCATCCGTGGTGCCAAGTTCTCGAACGGGGTCGGTTCGTCTGTCGAATATACCCGCAAGCACTGCAGATACCCACGCAGAAATGTGTACAAGGGACCAGGGCATTATTCCGACGAGAACGCATGGGAATGTGTTTAGTTGACGGTGTCTGGTATTGTACGAGACTTGGACTTTTACATCCTGCTTGATAGAATGCAAATAAGTCCAACAATTGAGTACAGGTGCTTCTAGTGTCCAATACGCTATTCGGCTGGCTAGCTAATTGGCTGCCATAGGGTGTTAAGCCACCAGAAAATTGGAGTATCATTTCCGCCTTGCCAGCCAAGGCAGCGTCCTTGCCATAACTTCTTTCGCAGGGAATCGTGCTGATGGCCTTCTTGCTTGTGAATGTGAGATACTTGTTAAGCGTAGATGATTAAGGCCCACAGCAGAGCGTAGCATAAGACCGTACACCACGATAGAAGTCTTAGACCAAACGAGTTCTTTTTATCATAATCAAATTCATTGCAATGTAGATTGTCTCGGAGCTAGGGGCACAGTCCCTAAATATAATGCCATTGAAGCGGCAGAAGGTGGCGGTACTGAGGGGCAGAAATATATATATACATCTTAGGACTCGATTGACAAATGGAGCAATGCTTCMAGCACTTCCATACTCCGTCCTGCACTCTGCGATATTTTGTGCATCTGACCAAAATTAGGTGTACGCATACAAACTAGGAATTAGTAAGTGATACGCTTTCTTCTGAACATGCGAACTACGCGATTGGAAATATCTCCCTTGATCTCCGCAAAGACTGGACAACTCCACATATAGACCGCCTTGGCAACTTATCCCTGCTTGAGGTAGTCGCAGTGAGAATTAATTACAGAAGGCACTCGATGATGAAGTACTTTCGGGCGTGGAACTACCTTTGTCGCATAAATGCCTCTTGCTGACTGACAGACTTTCTAGCAACCACAGTTCCCGACGCTTCGCAAAGTGGTCCTAAGCTTACATTCCGCTAGCTAGGGCTGATCCTTGATTTGCAAAGCTCCTTCAACCCCGCAATTGCTCAAGTGTCCTAATCGAATTGATCCATCGCGAAGGAGCGTGTGATCGCGCAAGCTTTACGTCAAGAACCCTCAAAACACGAACGTTCTACAAGCGAATTTCAGAAAAATGGCCGATCCTATCGCCGATGCGCCTGTCATAGACGAGTTCGCGCAAACTCGTGGCGGGGATGATCTGTTCGATGACGAAATCATCCCAGTCTCCGCGGACGAACAAGTACAAGCTGAGGTCCAGACGCCGGAGGAGAACGTTGCAGACACCGAGAGCCAGGAGCCACCACGGATAGATACCCCGCCGCGCTCACGGGGAGTGGATAGACGAGGAGGTCGAGGGAGAGGAAGAGGGCGGGGAGGACGCGGGTCACACCATTCAGGTCGCGGACGCGCAGAAGGAGGATCCAGGGGCAGGTCAACTGACAATACTGCCGAACGAGAGGACAACAAAGTGGAGGATGCAGCCCGCGATACGCCGGCAGAAGGATCAGAGCAATCCACAAAGGAGGATGAAACTAAGTCGGATGCTAAGGCCGCCGGTACGGCGAATGGAACCGAAGCTCAACGAGTTCCAGCTGTCCGTGGTGATAGGAGCGCAACGGGTGGAGTGAAGAAGGTACGGCACGAGCCTGTGTAGCATTCCAAGAGACACGTACTAATTGTCGCAACAGCCCAAGCTCACGGAGGAAGAGCTTACCCGACGCATCGCTGCCGCCAAGGAGAACGCCGCTAAAAAAGCTGCTGCATATGCCCGCGCTGAGGCCGATCAGGCGTCATTTCTCGAACGCGAGAAGGTTGCAGAAGAGAAGCGCCGCCAGGAACGCCAGAATCGGCGCGCGATGGATACCGAACGCGAGCGCAATCGCTTGAGAAAACTCGAAGCTTTGGGTGGAAGGGAATGGGATGCTACCAAGCGCGAAGAAGACTACAATCCCCGTGGTGGTAGAGGCCAATTCCGGCGAGGCATGCACGGAGGGGTCTCTGGTTACGTTCGAAGAGATTTCGATGACGCCCGCACGGAAGAGGAGAACCTAGAGGGACGCCATCACCACAACCACCGCGGTCGAGGACGTGGTGGAAGAGGTGGGCGCGGACGAGGAGCTTCTCGCGTTGCGCCTTTTGATGAAGCGTCAGATGGAGCTGCTCCAGCAGCCTCTCCAGCCGCTCCGGTCCTGAACAATGAACAAGAGTTTCCAGCCCTTCCTGGAGGTGATAAACCAACGGACAAGACGGTCTCCGATCTTGCAGACAAGCTGGAGACCTCACTGTCTCCAGTGTCTGGTGCCACGTGGGCAGACCAAGTCGAGGCGCAGCGGGATTAACCTACTCTACTAATGCCTCCTATGAACTTCCGTTCACGCATGTACGCTTCCCTAACTGTTTCTCATGTCTCTATGATGGATAGACCTCCGGAGAGGTTTTCTGATGTTTTCTTCTCTATTGACTCGAGTAATGATTGTCCTATACCACTGAATCGGAATGAAACTTGTATGTACATAACGCACTAGATGTTACAAAACCGGCAGTCCATGGTGCCCATGCACATTGTCTGACACGTACTCTCACTATCTACCTCCTGGCTCTTCCAAGCCAATGTACTGGTTAGTCGTATTGAGAATGTGATGATTCAGCGAAGGTGGCGTGAACCAGCCAATGACCAAGGCGGGGTGCGCTCACTATGAAATCATAGTTACTATGCTACTAGAACAGGACCCGTTCGACAGCCAGATGGTCGATGAGGTATACAGGTTGACTTCTTATATAAAGACGTTGTAGTCAAGATATTATTTCCAATATTCAACGTTGTTGAAGCATTCGGAATTCCAGATACGTTCGCCATATACTATATAACGGACCATCAAAACAATATATATCATTCCACACATTGTATCAGCAATACACCATACTGACTCCAGCAAAAGACACACACAAGTAAATCAAAACCACAATAACCATCACAATGGCAAGCTCCTCCACCGACAGAACAACCGATAACGCCGTCAACCACGAAAGAACCTCTACCCAGGGTGGTGCCAGCGCCAAACCCACACCCGCCAACAACGCAGGCGGTGGTTCCGGATGGGGCGACAAGGGGTTCTTCAAGGGGGGCACAGGTACAGAGGGTCCAGGACATGCCGACGTAAGTTGTTTCGATGTGTACTCCCGAGCGCGGAGCATTGAACTGATGATTTACGGTGTAGGCTCCGAACCCCAAGTCATCAATGGGCAAGTTCCTAGGTCTGAGTTCGCAGAAGGGTGCAGCGAGCTCGAACTTTGAGCAGCGAGCTCAGGGGGCGTCCGAAATGACTGCTAAAGGCACATCGTGCGATACCGAGGATCATAGTTTCATGGAGCACCGGCCGGGATGTCCTGAGACGCTGCCTGGGTGGTCGAAGACGAAGGGGGTAATGGATATGTGAGTCTTACCAGGAGTTCATCAGAGTTTTTTGTGAAGGAAGATGTGGGTACTGACGTTTGAGCTTTTAGGTTGCATGGCCAAGGTAGATAGTATGCTGGATTCAAGTTGGGAGTTGAAGGAGTTCTGCGCATGTATTATGTGCTTCTTTTCGTCATGAATAAACATTATTTGCATGAATTGGAAAGGATCAATGAGGGTACTAAAATCTAAGCATGCTATATTGTACACTATTCTACCTTCGACCTCTTTCCGCCGATACGATCGCGTAGAGCTACAATCTTCCCTAGCAGCCTGCCTTTCAAGGTTTGCGAGGTAAGCGCCGCAGCCTGATCAGCTGCGACAAAACGGCGGACCAGGAGATTGAATATGCTTCCGAACGCGAGTGCAATCACGGTACTGGTCAAGATGATCACGTTGTACGGCATGCTGAAGTCGGGAGTCGGTAGCGGGAGGAGAAGGCTGGTTGTGCGCATGTAGACGGGACTATCGTGAGCAATGATGTTGCCGTTCGCGCTAGATAGTTTGATCACCGCAGGAGCGACGTTGAAGCCACGGTTGGCGTCCGGCGGATACTCAGTGTAGCGCAAGATTGCCTTCTCAAAGTCATAGGTGAGAGTGACGATGGAAGCAGCAGGCACAGAGAGTGCAAGTTCCAACTGTGTGCCTCTTTCTCTATCGATGGCCGGTCTGTAAAATGTCTCTTTCACAATGTGCGAGACTGGAACCGACCTAGAGGTTCCGTCGCGCCCTGTGATCGTCGCGCGTAAAGTGTGGACATAGGGCCGCAAGAACCAGGGAAGAGTCTCGAAGTAAATGAAGTCGACCGGATTTGTATCCGATGGGTTGTCAAAAATGATGCGCATGCCGCCTCGTTCTTGGCCATGGCCAACAATCGTGCGTTCCGCACTCAAAACCGGCTCATCCAGAGGAGCCAAGCTTGTGTGAGACTGCTCGGGAATCACCAAGTCAAATGTGCCGGATGGTTGCAAGGTGAAACAACGGGTGTATCCGTCAGGCCTTTTCGCCTCTTCCACTCCAGTTGTGGTATATACCCCTTGCTCATGCGGCACCCGCAAACAGATTGCTTCTTCACCCGGACGTTGACCTTCGTCAAGAGAACAGACGCCATTTAAAGTACGACCAAAGATCTCGTTCAAGCTCCAGCCTTTGCCCGAGCCTCTTTCCAGAGGATAACATGTATCTTCTGAGTGGTAAGGCTTTGAATTGTCACAGTTCAGCTGATCATTAGGAACAGGACGTGGAATTGGGCTGTCTAGGAGGGTCATAAGCTACTGTACGTCAAAGAGAGAAAAGTAGTTTGACAACTCACCTCGAGGCCGTTTCGAGCGCTCAATGTCTAACACAATGTCTACTGTTTGCTCGATTTGCATGAGACACTTCCCGCCTTGAGGGCAAAGAGGACGCACGTCAACAGACATGCTCTGCCAGGACGCATCAAATAACTTGTGGCCATCCAGAAGACTAGAAACGCCAGCCTTTCCCTTGCAGGGAAGTAATTTCAGAAAAGGTGTCAGGTTCTCCGTGCAGACAACTTCTCCAGGAAGCGTTCCATGCAGCAGATGCAGGCCACTAGAGGCGGGATGATCACCGATAGGCTCAAATGATACAACTGGCCGAGTCGTTCGAGTGGAGTCAATAAAATTCAGCGACGCGCAGAACAGACCAGACAGTGACTGGGTCAAGGATATCCATCGTGCAAATGCGCTGGACGAAAGTCAGCTCCGTATACATCTCGAGGAATTGCGTTCGGTTTCCAGGTCTAGACCCACCTTTCGCTGTCCGGTGCATCAATCCATGCCCATAGCTCTACACCAGTATTGCCCTCCTTCGTCCCGTTCCAGGGACGTGTACCCCAGCTTTCAGCATCCCATCTCCCTGTTGTGAATCGAATATGTAGCTCCTTGGTGTGGGTGTGTTGTAGGATTTGGCCTAGAGCACGGGGGAAGTAGCGAAAGTGCCGTTGATCAAAGACCTCTTGCGAAGTGTTGCCTCTGAAGTTGAACGACGCTAGCAGGGAGGATTGAGGAAGCGGCTGGAGGACGAGAGCTTCATGGTAGTCCGATGCGGCGGAGGTGAAGGTCGCCAACGCGATCAGGAGGGACAGTAGGGGAAGAAAGGAGCGGACAACCATCACGTCATTCTTGCCGTCTGATAGTCTCGAGATACTATTGCGGTATGATCTTGACCTTTCCTAACTTCTCAGGGGTATCATCGAGTGGGGTTGTGGTGCATCGAAGATGTTCCTGATGTCCGTGAGAGCTGGCCATTTGAACCGATTGAGTTTAGTCTCTGGATCTATATGACAAGGTGAGCACAAACTACACATGGTCAAGATGTGTCGCATCTTATTATTTTCTGGGAGTAATTATATAAATAATAGTACGAACATTAGATAAATAGCTTTTCAATAATTAGGCCCTTTTATCAATTAATTTTTTTTCATCTAGAAATCCTTCTATTCTGTTCCTACGGAAGATGTACCTGAAGCTCACATAAGCGCAGCCGCGCTTTTAGCGCCACCGCCTTAGATAATCCTGGATCTTCAGCGTCACAATCGAGACCATCGCCAGTCAAGCAGAAATTCCTCTTTCGCGCTCAATCTCAATAAGCTGTCGCAAGCTTTCTATCATCATGGCAGCCGAACAAAGAAAGCTGCTCGAGCAGCTCATGGGAGGTAAATAATTGGACAATCTACGAATTTCAAATTATCTCTGAATCAAGCTGACGGAAATCTTCTCACAGCGGACCAGCTCATAGGTACAGGCGGCGGCTCTCGCAATGCGCAGCTTCAGATTACGGACCCTAAGGTCTGTCGCTCGTACCTGGTCGGAACTTGCCCGCATGATCTCTTCACCAACACCAAGCAAGACTTGGGCCCTTGTCCCAAGGTACACAGTGAAGGATTGAAGACGGAGTACGAGACCGCCTCAGCGGCCGAGAAGGCGAAATGGGGCTTTGAGTTCGATTACATGCGCGACATGCAGAAATATATCGACGATTGTGATCGCAGGATTGACTCCGCCCAGCGACGGTTAGAGAAGACTCCCGATGAGATCAGACAGACAAACAACTTGGTAAGGGCGAAACAATTACACTGAGCCACTAGAGGATATTCACTGACTCTCGACAGCTGAAACAAATCTCCGACCTCACAAAGACCATCAATACCGGTCTCCTTGAAGTTTCCGTTCTCGGTGAGACTGGTGCTGTGGCCCAGGCGCTCAACGAACTACACAAGATTCGCACCGCCAAACACCAAAAGGAGACCTGCGAGCGCGAACTCAAGAATCTTCAAGATACCTCGGGGCCGTCCGGTCACCAGAAACTGCAAGTCTGCGACGTCTGCGGTGCTTATCTGAGTCGTCTTGATAACGATCGCCGGTTGGCCGACCACTTCTTCGGCAAAATGCACATGGGTTATTCAGACATGCGCAAGACGTACAAAAAGCTCAGCGAAGAGCTCAAGGGGCGCCCACCTCCTGTCCGTCACCATGATGATGACGAAGGCGGTTGGGGTGGCCGCTCAGGTGGTGGACGAGGCCCACGTTATGGTGGTGGCGGATACAGGAAACGAGGCGGACGGTGGTGATTGAGATTGAGATGCCTACTGATCGTGGTTTCTTTCCAGGTATTTAGACCGGAATTTGCATAGCGCGGGCGTTGATTCTCTTTTCTTCATACCTAGGATTTGATGAATTGCAATATGTGGACGTGATGGGCTTGTTTATGTCAATAAATAATGAACGCAGCATAGCATAGCCATCATTATATCTTTATCTTAATCTGGCCCGCCTAGCAGGGGTATGATTTGCGAACAAATTAAATGTCAGGGTGAATGTAGTCACTGGTTTATATTGACATAAATACTACATGAACTCTACCTCAGGTCTTTATCAACGGCGTCCCGATGATCCCAAGTCCCAAGACTAGGTCTGGAAGAAAATTGGAATTGATAACACCGAAAGAAGATTAATGATTGTTTGAGACTTGAGCTGAAACACAGAACTGCAATAAACTCCATGTAAAACAAAAGAGATCCGAGGATATCAAATTGCATAATCCATCCACAAGAGAGAAAAAAAAAAAGCAAACCCGAATGCAACCTTTGGATATTCTTTACCATCCAGTGACTTTTACCTCAACCCGCCAAAAAGAGGAGCATATTCACACAAAGACATTAAAAAATGAAAGACCAAAATCTGGTATATAATGGCCTGAATCTAGCTGGCGTTTTGCTGTGGACCATGTCCATTCGTGGTAGCTTGATATAGCGCCTGCATTAACATCTCGTAATTTGAAGCCGCCTCTGGCTGTCGTAAGATAATGTCATGGACAACACCCAGTTGGGAAACATCAGCATTCGGAGCCTGCTGGAGGAGTTGCTGAATTGCAGGAGCATTTGCCTGGGCACCAAGCACCTGCACTGCGGCTGCCATACCGGTGACAGGCATCTGACTATGTGGCTCTGGAGGTTGATACCCCTGGGACTGAGAAGACGATTGAGTTGGCTCCAGCTGTGACTGCGGCTGCAGCGATTGCAGCGATTGCAGAGGCTGGGAAGCATAGGAATTGTGGGCTGGAATTGTGCCTGAGATAGCGGATGGCGGAGTGGGAGACATTTGCGACGTCTGCCTCGGTCCAGGTGTCAGAAACTGGGGTTGCTGGGGTGTCGCTGCGACGGTGACTGGACTTGCAAAAGACGCAGGCTCCTGACTTGGATGGTGTGATGATGGCTGTACTGAAGGAGGATTCGATTCGCCTGTTTTGACTGCGAAGACCACTAATAGTACTCGCTCCGGAGTAGGGTCTTCAAGTGTATTATTTTCCAAAAGCTCGATAAATTCGGGCTTCTTGGTCGATCCAGCTTCAATGGGAATTACGTAGGTATCTTTGACGGCTGGCAACGGATGTTTTCCGACAACCCCATATCGCTTCCGGTCTTGGAAATAGTTGAAGAGCTTGTCGAACCCTTTTTGATCTTTGGGGGATTCTGGGCGACTGATGGAGATGACTGAAACGTCCGTGGAGGAACTGAAACGCAAACCACAAAGATAATTGCTCGCCAGCTGAACGTCGATTCGCCCATCAACCACTAAGGTCGACGGTGCGAGCTGACTCCACGGTATCCTGTCACTTAGTTCGGCTCCTCCAACATGCTTCGCTGAAGATGAGAAATCAGCCAACGGGTTCATGACAACCTTCCCTCGCCAGATAATTCCCTCCTCATTAAAATCTTTCGGGGAATAGGGAGGCGATTCCGGTTCGACGTCTTTCAACAACTTGTCAATCTCTGCATCAGCCTGGGCCTTGCCAGTCGGCAACATTTCACGTATGTGAGTTGAGACCTCGGGAAAGACTTGGTCATGATCAGCGGCACCAGGAGAATGCACTGTAGGCCCATCTCGGGCCTTGGTGTCCGTCACTTTGGTGTCGATAGGTAGGGGTTTGGCAGCCCTTGGCGCACTGTCATCCGGCTGCTGATGAGCCTTGGGACTGGCTGGACTTCGGTCTGAAGGGCTTGCGTCAACTTCAGCCACGCTTCGGCGAGTCGGCGCAACCGAAAACACTGGCTCGCTGGCGACGGTTTGATTCTCATCTTCAATGAACTCTTCGCCTTTATGAGTTCGCCTTATTCGTGGACCTTGCTCCTCCACGATGATGTGCTGCCTCTCGGCCTCGCGCTTGATTTCGGCATCCTTCTGCTGAAGCTCCTCGCTTGCCATATCCTGACTGCTCATCTTAGAGAGCGCATCTGGAAGCAAACTACCTACGAGCAGGCGATCCCGTAGAGAAGGATTCTTCTTTACGTTGAACAAGATCGTCCGCAGTTGTAATTTATATGGTTCAGTGGGTTCTCCAGATCCTCCGCAAATATTCTGATACATAGCCTTCTCGATTGAAAAACCGAGCTGCTGCGCTATTTCTTTCGCCGATCTTCCCTCAGGCAATTTGAAAGACCCTTGCTTCTGTGCATCAGAAATTTGATCTACAAATAACTTCACTAGAGCACTCGCAGCACTTCTTCTTGCTGGGTTTGAGATCTCGTCTAAAGTCCCCGATTCCTGCGTCGCAGTTTTTTCAGAAACGGAGCTTTGGCGCGACGGAGGAGCATTCGAATCTTCCTTCAACGGAGCAGGCTTGTCGTTGAGAGGCGTCACTGAATCAGCTGGCGAAGTCATCTTTATTTGCTTGGGTTTCGGTCCCTGCTGGTAGACATTAGCAACCGTCACTATTCTCGGTAGGAAAAGCAGTAATAGTCAAATCTTACCGTCTCGGCCGCAGCCTCTTGATGTACCTCAAATTTCCTCTTCTGGGTGCTCGCTGGGCGGGCATCTGGAATGTCACCGTTCTTCTCGGGGACCGGGGTCACAACGGGTGGAGGGGCCAGTGGAACAGGAGTTGCAGCAGGCGTGGCAGAAGCCGCTTTATTGCGGGCTGGGGTGCCTGTATCCGGTTTGGGCTCGCTTGGCCTGCCCTTTCTACCACCTTTCCGGCCTTTTCTGCGACGTGCGGCCTTCTTTTCTTCTGCCTGCTGGCGCCTCTTCTCGGCTGCTTCCTCCCAAGGCTTCTCACCACGCGCGATCTTGTCCAAGAGAACTTTATGATTCTCAGGTCGGCAAAGTTCACAGAAGTATTCGTCGGGCTCCTCGCCTTTCGCAAATGTGAGGCCCATGCAGTCATTGTGTTGCCAGGCGGAGCACTGGTCACAGCAGATCATATCTCGTTCAATGTCTTCCTCTTCTTCATATTCTCCGCATATACACCGAATGATTTCTTCTTCTTCGCTGACGGCAGGCGTCGGCTCGGCGGAGGGTTTCGCGGGCTTCTCAAGTTTATCCTTCGATTGAGCTTTCGCTTTCGATTTCTTCGCAGGTGTCTCGGTTACCATATCCAGGCTTTTGTGTTGGCCTTTCGTAGAGCGTCCAGAGCGTCGCGGTTCTTCTGATTTCAGCAGTTAGCGAGCTATTCAGTCACTGTTCGGGGGTCGCATCCAGTCGCCACAACTTCAGTTGAGGTGACGCCGCGCTCACAAAAGATGTACTATAGGCTTACCAGTCATGATGGGCATGCGATATGGCAAAGGATCTCTGAATATCTACAGCACGTGGTAGGGTAGGTGTTATTCCAAAGACAAGTTGTGCAGGCCACCCAACAGCTGGCTTTCTACGGCATCCGAGGGGCTAAAGTAATACGCAGGGGAAAAGACTGGACAGTGGCACTGTTGCCTGGCCCACACAGGTATTACTTGATCCTCCAAAGACTGTCTCTGCTTTATTTACCGAACAACGCGTGCGAACCCAGTGTACCAGCAAGCTGGATGTGGGCCTTTGGAGGCTTTTGTCGCGCCGAGTTCTAGCGTGAGGAGTCGCGTGAGTATCGTCCTGTACGGGGGTTCCCCTTGAAAACAGTAGATCTGATGATGGCAATCAAAAATATTCGTGGTCGCGACAGTAGTTCGTATAAAATTCGGCGTTGAGTAAACGGCAAAGGATGAAAATGCGATGAGGGAGTGGGTTGAGGGAAGGAATGAAGGAGGAGATGTCGTGCTACTTGTAGTGAGTAATCAGGCACGTGACTGAGGCTCGGTGGGGGAGGTCTTGGCAGACGCCAGTCGCCTTCCGTCGCGTAAAGTAGTTTCGATGTCGTGAAAGCTTCTCCAGATCCCCACATCTTGACAACCACACGCCCTTGCCCAAAATCTTTGTTGATCCTACTGAAAAACACCCAGGAAATTTATTGTACTCACTTTTCACCTGTTAGTCCATCTACTGGGATGGCAGATGTTCGCTCGTTACTTCGAAGTGAGCTTGCTGCTCGCAAGGGCGCACCGCAAGCAGGAAGTACCAGTAATCGAGTTACCAAGAAGCGGAAGGTCGATATCACGGATGACCTGACGCGAAAGAAGATGAGGCCTGGTGAAAAAAGTGCAGACTCCCAATCGCCGACAGTACATACTTTGCAACCACCAAGCGCCCAGGCAATCGATGAAGTGGAGGATGTGGAACAACTAGATGAAGAAACTGCTAGCCTAGAACTTCCGCCGAACTCGAAAGCCTCTCAAGACCAGACCCAGGCACAGTCTAAGCCGTTGCTCGAATCGAATACACCCCCAGCTATCGATGAGGACGAATGGGCAGCATTTGAGCGTGATGTGGTGGCGCCAACTCGTGTGCCCCAGGCACCTGCTGCAGTTGCTGCAGCAGCGACGATATCGGCCGCACCAATCTCGGCCAAGCAACTGGCTGCCCAGCAAGAGGCAGAAAAGGGAACGTCAATACAAGCACGTGAAGCTGAGATCGAAGGGGAACGAGAAGACGCGGCTCGGTTCTTGGAGGATGAATTTGATGAGATGGAGCAGCTTGAAGAACGGATCAGGCGATTGAAGCATAAGAGGGAAGAACTGAGACAGAAACGAGCTAAGGAAGCTTCAGAGATGCCTCAGACAGAAGGATCCTCGTCCGGGAAACCGCCAGGGGAACAGCGGATTGATGTGACTAAACAAAGTGACGAAGAAGAAAACGATGACGATGACGACGATGATGATGTGGATGACGATGACTGGGACAACTGGAGATTTAGGTAATGGAAAATTGAGATGAGCAGTGGTTTTGGGAACGGCGCCATTTCATAAAGGGAGGTCTGAACTCTTCACATTTACATTGATACCCCATACATCGAGTCATGAGCTATATGGATAGTCTATAATGCCTTATGATCCTTTCCTCTGTGCCATCTCTGTCGATTGGTGGCTCTAAAAATGTTGTTTTTACTGGCTCTACAAGGTAATAATGCAGGCAACTCAGACGGGAGATATTCCTGTCACTTGTTGAGCCGAGGCTTCAGCCACGTCTTCCACGGCTGTCTTAAGAATGAAGAAATGGGCCGGATTGGGAACTAGTATCTATCTGCCTTGTGTCTTCATGGACAATTGAAATTGATTATATTTATACACCAAGTAGATCATCTCCTTCTCACTTCTCACTTCTCACTTCTCATGTCAAGAACCTTCCGGGCTTTTCTCCTGCGGTACTTTTTCTGAGTCTTGGCTTTCAGCTTCCAGGTAGCTCCTAATGCCTTCCTTGCTGACTCTCATAGCTTCCTCGATCTCCGCCTCACCTTCTCTAAGGAGGTGCCTCCCGCGGACAAGGTCGCTCCGTTGCTTTCTTTTCTCCTCCTGGACTTGTTTTTCGCGTTCTGCTAGAGCCCTTTCGCGCCTCTCGCGCTCCAGTCTACTCTTGTTTAGTGCCTCAAGCTGATCTGCAGTCATGTCTTGCTCTGGTGGCGGTGGCAAAGTAGAGATATAGGCCTCAAGTAATGGGTCGCGCACTTTAGGCGGCAATGAGATATATCTCAGGTCGGTGATAATCGATGAAGGAAGAGCTTCTCGATTCGATGATCGGTTGAGCTCTTGTAATGGTACTGATTTCAGCAAGGCCGAGAACTCAGATTTTCGGGTGCTTTCAGGTAGCTTCAATCGCGATATCAAATCTCGATAGAGTTTCTCACGGTCTTTGTCCGATAGCTGCGAGTCCTTCATCTCGGGCTCTTTCCTGTACTTGCGTTTGAATTCAGGCCAATAGAGCTTGGGAGTAGCATGCTCCTGGAGAAAGGCGAGATACCGGATCCTCGGATCCTTCTTTTCCTGCTTCTCTTTCTGTTCTTTCAGCTGCTGTATACGATCACGACTCCAACTCGACCAGGCCTCTCGGCGTGCCTTCATGTTTGGCAAAACAGTATAGCGACTGTCCTCTATTATGCGGCCTTCTTCGATGATCTTCTCCCACGTAGAATAGGGATTTATGTGATAGTCATCGAGAAGGTCACGGAAAAGCGCAGCAGCATCTTCCTCAGTAAGTGGCAACCCTTCTGCACCCTCCTCCCAGCCTTCCTGACCAGGTTCGCCGTATTCTCCCGGATCCAGGCCGTATTCTTCCCCCATTGCTGCGAGTTGATACTCGATATCTTCTTCAGTGAATTCTAAAGGTTGCTGTTGGTCGTTGGTATCTTCGGTCTTCGGCCGTTTAGAGGGTTGATCATCCTCGTCCTCGCTATCAGTCACTTCAACTTCTTCGTACTCATCGCTGTCTTCCATCGCACGTGCGGTTGTACCGGGATCCCCTATGCTACCAGGTTCCTCGGAAGGGCGAGCTTCGTCCAATATCTCCTTCCCCTTTTCTCCGGGTTCCTCAGCTTCTTCGGAACGAGCCTTCCGTTCCCTCGTCTCTCTTTCCAAACGATCATACTCCACCACTCCTTTCATTACTGCGGGAGGAATTTTCCAGAAACTTTCGTTCGTTTCAGGGTTGTGAACAAATCTTCTCCCCAGTCTCGTCTTCACCAGCACCCACGGCTCGCACCCGGGTATGGCGTGTTTCGATTTCGGCCTATCCTCGGGCCCTCGATTGTTGCGGTCGCGGAACCCTTTCCCACCTCGAAATCCACCCCTAGAATGACCATGGTGAGGAAACCCACGGGCCTTGTCGCCCAAGCCATATCCTTCGGGCGCATATGGTGTGGAAGAGAAAGGAGGGAGAGTGTCTGGGGTAACAAAAGGAACTTGGGCTGGTGGGGCGGGTTGCGATTGAACAGGAAGCGGCTGCGGTCTTGTGTATGTAGATTGCTTCGTCGCCGCGTTGTAGTAATAAAGATGTCCTATCTTGTAGTCAGTGGCTTGAGCTCGAAAGAATGCAATAAAGAAACCCACCCGAAGGAGCTCTATGTTCTGTCCAACCTGGCGGTAATGGAGGAGGGGGAGTGTAGGTAGATTTGAGCATTCTGACCGCTACTGTCTGTGTCACGATAGAACTATGTAGGAGATCGTCAATTGCTGGTATCAGAAAGACATGCCCGTAAGGTGTGGAATGTGCTAATTGTAAAATTTCACAAGAGATCTGAAATGGTTTTGCCAGTCGATAGAGCTTCGTCTGCGCTGGGAGATCTAGAAGTGGTCCGAGCTTTGCAGCGGACCGGCAGGACGCGCCAGGGCGAGTTGCCTGGTCACTTGGAGCTCACCTTGCCCGCTCACATAGCTTAGGTACATCACAGCTCCATATCTTCCTACAGCACCCTCCCACTCTATCTACTTCAACTATATTCTATCTTCTCTCATTGACATAGCCCCTAGACATACTGCAAAATGTCACGGAGATATGATTCCAGGGTACGACCACTATTCCGTCATTCCGTCATTCCGTGACTTGCTCCAGCTAACCCAGCGATGCCCAATGTAGACAACCATCTTCTCCCCCGAAGGTCGACTTTATCAAGTGGAGTATGCGCTCGAAGCTATTTCACATGCTGGTACAGCTCTAGGGATCTTGGCGAAGGATGGAATCGTCCTCGCTGCAGAGAAAAAGGTGACCAGCAAGCTGCTAGAGCAGGACACATCTGCAGAGAAACTCTACACACTGAACGAGTACGCAATTCCTAACGGAGAGAATGGTCCTCATCTTCTTTAACCGGTACTCATCCATTACTAGTAACATGATCTGCGCAGTTGCCGGTATGACTGCTGACGCCAATATTCTCATCAACTATGCCCGACAAGCCGCTCAACGCTACCTCCTCACTTACGGCGAAGAAATTCCCTGCGAGCAACTTGTTCGTCGATTGTGTGACCTGAAACAAGGATACACCCAGCACGGTGGTMTCCGTCCGTTCGGTGTCTCGTTCATCTACGCAGGTTACGATCCTCTGAGAGAATTCCAGCTGTACCAGAGCAACCCCAGTGGGAACTATGGTGGTTGGAAGGCCACTAGTGTGGGAGCAAATAACGCAAGCGCCCAAAGTCTGCTCAAGCAAGATTACAAGGAGGACTGCGACCTGAAGGAAGCGTGTGCCATGGCCGTCAAGGTCTTAAGCAAGACCATGGACTCGACAAAGCTGAGCAGTGAGAAGAGTAAGTGACCCACAATGATTTTATCGTGTTCAGTTCATGACGTGTCGCTTTCAATATGCTTAATCTATTCCCGCATCGTTGGCTGACTGACGTCCTCACCTACCCAGTCGAATTCGCAACGGTGGGAAAGACCAAGGAAGGGAAGATCTACCACCATCTTTGGAATGCGGACGAGATCAATGCTTTACTGAAGGAACATGGTTTGGCCAAGGTCGACGATGAGCCCGAGGCTGGTGATATCAAATAAACTTACGAGACAATGCTCGCTTTCGGTAATTCCATCATACAAATTAGGTTCTGAGATTTCAAATTCCCAAAAATGCCATATTTGAGCCGGTAGCCATATCATTTACAGAGGTTGTTGCAAATGCTGGTGATAGAGCCTGAGAACACGTAGGAGTTGTTTCTGGCCCAAGGGTTGCATTGAAATTGCACTTACATTGTTCGGTGGTGACGTGGCAAGCAACCCCCTGGGGTTCAATAAACAGTTATTATAACTCCAACGCTTCCCCTCGCAGGAATTCTCGCAATCTGATACAGCCCGTTATGGACGACGACCTGAGGGAATGGTCCACGTAGTCTCCCTTCAACTTGTCTGATCCGAGCGCTTGATTAATCCATTCTGGATAGCCCCTGCTCAAGAGAGCCCTCAAATATGACAGTGCGCCCCCTAAAATGCGTCGATTGTTCAAACAAAGACAAAATCGTGCAAAAGATGCGCGAATTTATCACCTGTCGTCTCAACAAAATTTCACGGAGCAAAGTATATCTGGTCTCGGCTCTCTACCATCCGCGAGAGGTTGTTGAGCAACCATGAGAGCTCGCAGCACTAGACGAAGTGATCAGTGGAGAAACACATGTGGGAGACCATGCAGTTTGAACGCCCTGTCTGGCACTTGGGTAAATGAAGTCTTTTATTGCTTCTAGTTAAGCGACAATGACCAGAACCGTGTTGAAAGGAAAGAGGGCTAACCAGATACAGGTGACTCACGTGAGTATATATACATTCGTCAAAGCTGCGGGGTATCGATTCTCATCCCCTGGCCGCTTGCTATTCGGAACCGAGCTTTGGAAACAAAGGCCATACTCAAGGAACCTCTGTGGCAGACAGACGTACATTAACAATGCGAGTCAAGGTAAAATGGCCACAGTAAACGTTCACCCTCGTTTCTACTGGTGGAGCTGGGTGAACCGCTCATCGGGAACGCAGGCGCTTATGTGCTGGGAGTCCTTCAGGCTACGTCCCCGTTCCTGCAACGTCTCAAGGGAATGAATTTTATCATTGGAAGACTATGACCTAGATACAATTAAGTCTGCAGTCGTCAAGACATTTCCTCCAACCATCATGTGGATCTCCCCGACTTCTGAATCGGTCCGAAACGATGATGCTGTCAAACCACAGTCAGGGTGGCACCTGCTTGAGATAGCAGTTGATGAACCAGAGCATAAGCGACAAAATAAAGGCTTTGCAACAGAGGGAATCTTGAAACAAGAAACAGAACCACCAAGAAGGCCAACATTGCCTCGTCCTAGACGCCATTGAGCTCTGACATCTTACTTTCATGAGAGTGCTTTTCTTCGGTCTTCTCGTTCTCTCTGCAACTGGCAAATTTCTTTCTCCAGTTCTAATATGAGCTTTTGCGATCGGTCCATAGAGGCCACAAGTGATCCTCCTTCACGTTTCC